GACATTCTTCATCTGAATACTGGCTCGTATGATCCTCGGTCTGATTAGATATTAGAACTGCAGTATAAAGAAAAGTAGTCATTGCCACAACGATATGTTCTAGTGTATGTGAAGTGTGAATTGTCACATCTGCACCTGATGCTTCCTGAATAGGAGCTGTGGGGCTATCCTGATTTTTTATGCGAACATTATCCATTGTAGTATGGTCAGGAGAAGGGATCTCAGGGCCAGACACCAACTCTTGTCTTGTGGTGATTCCCTCCTCAAGTTGGTTGTCATCAGGTTTGTTGGGAGCGCGTTCAGGCACGTGGGGTGAACTGATAACATGTTCCTGCTTTTGACTATTGGTTCTCAACTGTGGATGCAACCTGAAACATTTCTCCTACGAGTGTCCAAACATCTTACAGTGCTTGCAGTAGTAATGTTTTTGTTACATAATGATTTTTTGTCAATAACCATTATGAGCAGAGCCAAGCCAGACTTCTTCTACATCTGGTAGTGTAATATCTCTTTCAATCAAAATCCTTGCAATAGAGAGCCTTGAGAAATGAACTGTAGGTATGTCTACCTGCAAAGATTTTCCAAGAATAGTCTAAACTGCATATAAGATAGGTAGGTTAAACAATTGAAGCTTAAGTTAAGGTAATGAAAACTAGATAGGCTCAATTAGAGGTTCTTGACTGGGATAAAAATTAGGGGTTCATTTGAGCAATTTTATAAATTTTCCCTCGGTTGTGAGGAATTCTTTTAAGAAAATCCTTGTGTAATCTTCTTCTATGCTCACATGTATCATAACATGTCTTCAGTCGAAATGATCAACCTATCAATCCCAACATGTTTGAAATCTTCAAAAACTTTCCTGATAATCTTCATCTTAGGGCAACCTGATTGGACATTTCGAACTAGTGTAAATTTGTATTTTTCTGCACGAGTTGAAATTTCAGCATCAGAAAAGAATATTGTTGGTTTGCCCGCATTTTTCTCTACTTTTTTTTGATGAGATTGCAATCTTCATGTCCTGCAACAGAATCATGGTACATCTGAGAGAATATCAGACTTTGCGAACCACTGTTGCATAGGAGGGTTTGGCGGGGTTATCACCGGCGACGGCTGCAGCATGGGAAAACCTTAGGCCATTAGCGTGCTTCACACAAGCACTACAGCAAATGGCGCAGCTTGCCGATTGCCGCCTACAAATGACACGAGCAGTCGAGCAGGTTGATGTGGCGGAGCAGTCTATCGGCCTTGACGAAGAAGAGGCCGAAGACAACAAGGCTGCAATTTTGTCAACGCATGACATAGTACAACGCAGCAACAACGCTGCAGACGGAATCGCGAAGCCCAGGAAGGCGAATTCGAAGCAGACGGAGTCGAGCAGACGAATTCGACGCAGACTAATTCGAGGCAGACAAAGC